AAGATAACCAAGTTCTCAGAAAAGGGGGCAGAGGGTGCTCAGACTCTTGAGGCCTACGCCAGAAAAAGTGTCTGCTATGGCAGGCCCTGGGAAGCAAGAAAGGCTATTAGTACTGACAATAATAATGAGGAAGATAGAGTGTTTTTGTGCTGTAAAGTGGTTTGCTAAGTACACGATCTCATGTGAGCCTCACAAAGAACCTTGAGAGGCAAGCACTGTAGCTCTTAGAGGCCCCATTTTCCAGGTGAGGAAACTGAGGCTTGGGGAGGTGAACTGACTTGTCTCTGAGCACATGGCCAGTACATATCAGAGATCCGATCAAAGAGGCTGAACCCAGCCTAGCCAATTTCAAGCACAAATGAGAAAAGGAATATTGCTGGAAAGCATATTTACAGTTTGCATAGGAAGAAGAGAGGGTCTGGACTGCGTTTGGGAAATGCAGTGATTTTTGATGGGCTTCAAGCTGAGACAAAAGCTCATCATTTTACATCAATATTCTGTTGTGATGTTCTATGCTGCTGGTGATGTTCTGTGCCTTCAAATCATGAAATACCAGCGTCTCCAAAGAATTCCAGTTGCAGGTCACCCAGAGGGCAACGAAGAGGCCCATAGTGGACACAAGTAGGCAACAGCACATTACCAATGACGGACAGCCCAGGAGAAGCAGCTTTAAGAGCCGTCAGCAAAGAGATACATAACTGAAACGGGAAACGGGGCTGGTTATACAGTGAGAGCTAGAGATAACTGAGGGAAGATTTGGGAGCCATGGGCTCCATTGGTATCTTGGCCAATGTAGGCCAAAAGATACCACTCTGGAGCACTGCCTTTTATGAGAGGTGGCATGGCATTGTGGACAGGCACTGAATTTAGAGTAGAGAAGACCTGACCTGCTTCAAATCTTGCCTCAGAGTAGCTGCAGGGTAACTAGCTGTGTTACCCTGTGCAAGTCACTTAAACTCTCTGGGCCTCAGTTTCCTCATCAGCAAAATCAAGGGCTCTGAATTTAGCAGCCTGTAAGGTTCCTTCTAGCTCTAAATGTATGACCCCACCATCAAGAGGAAGGCCTTTCAGCACATTGGATGGACTCACTGTGTAAGATTTACAGGAGGACATGGACAGAAATTGCATGGAATGAAATCACATGGATGGCCTGTGCCCTTGCACTCTGGGAGAGAGTTCTTACATCTATAAAATCACCAATCCATCCAAGTATAGGAATATACTGCTTTTGAGACTCCACAGGCTGTTTAGAGAGGGAAAAGACTGTGGACTTGGGAGTCTGGAAACCTGGCTCTGGCATAGCAGTTATCCAGGGAAAGCTGTATGACCTTGGGCAAGCCCTTTGCCGTCTCTGTATCACATTTTCCTCATCTGTAAAATGGGGACAATGCTACTTGCCCTCCTTCATAGGCCAGTTGTGAGAAAAGTGGTCCGTCCTATAGAAGTAGGAGCTCTCATTCCTACCCTGTACCCATAGATGATTGCTACATTGGCCGATGGTGGCTAACACAGACCCCAAGAATCAGGAAGGGGTTTGGGGGTGAATTCGAATGTAGCCAGCTCCTCAGAGCTCTCTTCCCATCTTTGCTGAGGTCACAGCTGGCACTTGGGCCAAATCAGAGACCTCTTTGAAGTAGCCCCGTAGAGAGCTTTTGACCCTTTGGGGAATTTAAGGGCCTGCACTGTTCTCTGGGTAAGCTCCTTAAGGAATGAAGAACTTACTTGTACCCTTCAGGATAAGGCTCTTTGGACTTGATTTATGAGCTTCTGTGAATTTCCAAAGCATTTCCTTTAGCAAGATACCTTTAAGCCTGTAGTGACCTCTGACAGATAGTCCATTGTCTTGGCCTGGTATTGGGTATTTAAGGAAGACAGATGAGGACTCAGAGGCACAGCCTGTTTGTCACTAGAATAGCTGGCCTAGTGAGGAGACAGGGCCTGAGCTCTACCCCATTTCCTGAAGGACATGGGGAACCAGCCACTTAGCACTCTATGCCCCCATTTCTTCAGCAAAGAGACACCAACATGTAATACTCATTTGGAAAACCCTTAGAAGCATTAAGTGAAATTTCTCAAGTAGGAATGAGTTGCTTTTCTAGCTAAGGATGATTTGTTGAGGTTTGGAGTTTGGTTGGGTTTTGGTTTTGTTTTTCTCTTTTTGTAAGAATTGCCCAGTTCTATGGAAAAAGCCTCCAGGTAAGCTGCCTCTATTGCTCCTAAAAAGACATGTTCCCTTCTTAGGCAGCTAGAAGCCAAGGGCTGGCCAAATGAACACTGAATACCCACAGGGCTTGTCTTAACATTCCACTCTAATCTGCCTACCCAGGGAGGCCCCCTGAGGAAGAGCATGCTCATCTCATCTAAGGAGCCCTGTGACTCAGTTCTCTGGAGAGCCTAGCTTTGCTTTCCCCAGTAGATACTGAATCAAATTGCCTTTAAAGAATGGTGGTATATTTGTGATTTTGAGCAAGTCTTTTCAACATGGTGCCCAGCAGCTAGGATATAAGTTAGGCAGCCATGATAGCCATATATTTTTCTTGATGAATACTCCCATTTGCCATCATCAGGCCTCATTATAACCACCCTGTTACTAACAGATCTTAGATGATCCTGAAAATCCAGCCTCCTGAAATAGACTGAATGTTTAGAAATGAGCCTTTCCTTGGTAATTTTCCTCTGCAGTGGGTTTGAATAGGATCTAGCAAATCCCTCTCTTGACACAGTCCTTATAGAGTTCGTTTTTCTCAAATAAGTTCTGTTTTCATTGCTGGCTCAGGAGCATATTAGCACTCCTGCATCAGCCTCCAATTTCCTTATTACCTCTCAACTGTTAGTGATATTGTTATTCAGTCATTTCAGTTGTGTCCAACTCTTCATGACCGCATTTGGGAATTTATTGGCAAACATACTAGAATGGTTTGCCATTTCCTTCTCCAGTTCATTTTACAGATGAGGAAACAAAGGCAAACAAGATTAAGTGACTTGTCCAGAGTCACACAGCTAGCAAGTGTCTGAGGCTGAATTGAACTCAGGAAGATAAGCGTTCTGACTTCAGGCTCAGCACTCTATCCACTGCAGTACCACCTAGCTGTCCTACTATTAGTGATGCTCCTAAATAAAAGTTCACTTCCCCCTGTAACTTCTAAGCCTGAAATAACTTGTCCAAAAGTCCAGGCATCTGTGCTGGAAGTGTTTAAAGTAGCAGGGCACCAGCCCAGAAACTCTTGGGCTTTGTGGTGAAGTGGGGCCTTATGGCTGGGAAAATAGGGGAAGGGCTAAGTGAGGAGGTTTGTGGATATAATTGGAATCCTGAATCCTAGTAGAAACCCTTTGCAGGCAACTTGAATCAAGTTTGTTGCTGGCTTATGGTTTGCCCCTTGGGCCTGGTTCCACTGTTGTTTGCTGATTTAGGAGGTCTCTTTGGCCATCAGATTACACATCAAGTACTATAAGCAAACTGGAGAGCAAACAATAGTTTGCCTGTCAGATCTATGGAGAACAGAAGAATTCATGACCAAACAAGAGATCGAGAACATTATGAAATGCAAAATGGATCTTTTTTTTTTTTGAGCTAGGCAATGGGGTTGAGTGACTTGCCCAGGGTCACACAGCTAGTAAGTGTTATGTGTCTGAGACCGGATTTGAACTCAGGTCCTCCTGAATCCAGGACCGGTGGTCTATCTACTGTACCACCTAGCTGCCCCCAAAATGGATAGTTTTGATTACATTAAATGGAAAAGTTTTTGCACTAACAAAGCCAGTGCAACCAAGATTAGGAGGGAAGCAGAAAACTGGGAAAGAATTTTTACAACCAGTGTCTCTGATAAGGGCCTCATTTCTAAAATATATAGAGAACTAAGTAAAATTTATAAGAATACAAGCCATTCCCCAATTGATAAATGTTCAAAGGATACGAACAGGCAGTTTTCAGATGAAGAAATCAAAGCCATCTATAGTCACATGAAAAAAATGCCCTGAATCACTACTGATTAGAGAAATGCAAATCAAAACAACTCTGAGGTACCACATCCCACCTATCAGATTGGCCAACATGACAAAACAGGAAAATGATAAATGTTGGAGAGGATGTGGGAAAATTGGAACGCTAATACATTGTGGGTGGAGTTGTGAAATGATCCAATCATTTTGGAGAGCCATTTGGAACTATGTCCAAAGGGTTATAAAAATGTGCATACCCTTTGACCCAGCAATAGCACTTCTAGGGCTGTATCCCAAAGAGAGCATACAAATGGGGAAAGGACAAAAATATTTATAGCAGCAGTTTGTGTGGTGGCAAAGAATTGGAAATTGAGGGGATGCCCATCAGTTGGGGCATGGCTGAGCAAGTTGTGGTATATGAATGTAATGGAATACTATTGTGCTGTAAGAAATGATGAGCAGGCTGACTTCAGAAAAACCTGGAAAGACTTGTATGGACTGATGCTGAGTGAAGTGAGCAGAAGCAGGAGAATGTTGCACACACAGCCACGCTGTGCGATGACTAATATTGATAGACTTGACCCTTCTTAGCAATACAAGGATTTCAGACATCTCCAAAGGTCTCATGATGGAAAATGCTATCCACATCCAAAGAAAGAACTACGGAGTTTGAATGCAGATCAAAGCAGACTATTTGCTCCTTTTTTTTTTCTTTTGATTTGTTTTGTTTCCTCCTTCTTGTGGTTCCTCCTGTTGGTTCTAATTCTTCCTTTCAGCATGACTAATGTGAAAATATGTTTAATAGGAATGTGTATGTAGAGCCTATATCAGATTGCATGGCATCTTAGGGAAGGAGGCGAGGAGGGAGGGAGAGAAAAATTTAAAACTCAAAAGCTTATGAAAATGATTGATGAAAACTAAAAATAAATTAATGAAAGAAAAGAAAAAAAAAGAGTATACATCAAGGCTACTCTTGCTATGTGTTTGGCATCAACTCTCTGTCCCCTGCTTGACATGTTCCAGGCTTTCAGCACCTTAAAAGTCTGCCCTTTGAACTTTAGGAAATTCGAAACATTCATAACGATGAATTGATGGGAATCAGGAGAGAGGAAGAGATGGAGATGTCTGACGAGGAAATGGAAGATCCTAGTGATCCAAAGGAAAATGAAGACTCGGGTAAGACCATTCTGTTCATATCTCTATAGCAGCGGTAGATTTTTCTGGATAAAGTTCCTGTGTATTCTGTTTGTCTCCATTTCCCATTATGATGAACGATCGAGAAGTAGCTGCGTTTTCCAAGAATTTGGGGGCATTTGGTAAGCATAGTCTTCACCTGGGTTAAGTTGTCCAGATTCTCTTGCCAAATACATCATTAAGAGAATATGTCAAAAAAAAAAAGAGAGAGAGAATATGTCCACAAATTGGAATTGTTCGATCATTATTCAAAAACCAGTAGAAGGTGAGGGGGTTTGAAATAAGATTAGATGCAGAAGCTCATCGGGGTTGCAATTTCTCTACACCTCCCCATCCTGTGAAATTCTTGTCCTCATCTTTCCACAGATCCTCCATAATCTACCTGGGTATTTCAAAATATCAAGAATATCACTGCAGTAGTCACGCGTTCCATCTGTTAGCCCTCACTCTCACTACATGACCCTCCTACCTCCTTTTCCAATCCAACACATTATTGGTGACATCTTTTACACCACTTCTTGCATGCAAATCATTGCTAGTACCACACCACAGCTCACTTACCATACCACTCAGCTCTTGGCTACACCTTGGATCACCTGTAGTTGTGATTCTTCCAATATCATGGTCCCTCATGTTCCACAACCATATGGTATCACTAGGGCCCATAGTATCAACAGACATTTGGTGAAGCAGCATCACCGTGGGGTTCCACACCATTAAGTAGAGTTAGGTTATTAAGAACTTCATGAAATAATACTGGTCAGGGACACGTTAAGTGGGACATATGCCTCTCTCTGTTGGCATTGGCAGCTATGCAATCACTTGTGTGATAATGTCTTACAACCCGAAATTCCTAAGAAAAGAAAGAAAGCAAGCTACCCAGACTTCTTTGTAGGCAGCAGCTGTTAAGGCTGGATCTCTACTCCTTTTGATGTAATTCCAAGCCCTGATAGACAAAGTAACACATACTTTGTCTAAGTAGAGCCCTTTGTCATCTTTGGGATCATTAGATTTCATTTAGCAGGTAAATAATGACTACGAATGTATGTAGTCAAGATAAACAGAAGAGAGGGAGTTTAATCATGAAGCCATTAGACTCATTTAACTGCTTGGCAATGGCAGCTTAGAGCCTATTATTTCTCATGTGAAGGCTGGTCTCTGCCCCAGTATCTGCAATATGTAGAGAGTGCATATCTAGTGTTACCATGAAATAAATGTGCCTCAGTGTTCGAGTACCCACTTGATCAACTGCCAAGTTTGAGAAGTTACAGAAGGAAGGGAGAGATGTCTGCGGGATTCAGATTGAATATACTTACTGGGGTAGAGCATGGCATTTTGCTTCTCTGGCTTTCTGGAGTTAAAAGCTGCATTGGCCCCTGCATAGGGCCTTATTTGTTTAGAGACTGGGAACTCCCTAACAGATTATCTTCAAGCTATTTTCTTTCCTACTCCATACACGGAGGTGCTGCTTTGTCAAATAAAGCTATCTGCAATAGACTTAATGGAGCTTACCAAATAGCTTTTCTCCCAGAAGGTTTCAATTCATTTTAATTCAAGGAGTTTTGTGTGTTTCTCTTCCCCTGGATCGTATTTAATTTTGTTATCTTGCTTCCATTGTACACAACTGTTGAAATCCCATGTACCCTGAATTTTGTATGAGAGGGGGGTTCCAGTTTAGAGCCAAAGTCAGTGCCTGTTACATAGAACTCAGTTCTAAAAAAGGGATAATTTACATTTTAGAAAAGAGATCCCAGGACTTCTTTTATTTCCACACTACCCAGCTCCAAAGTGCAGGAGCCTGGAGCATGAGTCTGCCCAAAGCTCTAGGTTGGCCCCTACGTGCCATATGGGATATGGGGTATGCTCTCTGTAGAAGACAATGCTGCCCCATACACAGTCAGCTCAGTGATTCATGTTCAGGTATGGGTTAGACTCGCTGGCCCCTGTGGTCCCTTCCAACACTGATATTCTGTGATGCTATGATTGAAGAGGGCCCATGCATCAAAGCAAATTATATCAGGGCAGAACTCATTCTGGTTTTGGCAGTGATAGAAATTCCATGGACCCAGTGAATATCAGCACAGCTTGGCATGCTGTTCCCCTTCAGCAGTGATTTGCTGACCTCCTTTCTCAGACCTGTGCTCCCACATGGCTCTAGCCAAATTCTTCTTAGAATTGCAGATTCTCAGAGTTGGAAGGCATTTCAGAGATTGTGTTCCTCCTATGACCTCTTTTCACACACAGCCCTATTTTCTCTATTTGGGACTCGGCCCAATCAATGAACAAATATCTATTGTAAGTCAAGGGGGATGAAGAAGAGCCCTGGACTTGGTCTTAGCATCCCTGAATCTCTCTACTAGAAGGACCCTTAGAAACCCACTGGGGGGCATCTAGGTGGCACAGTGAATAGAGCACCGGCCCTGAAGTTAGAAGGACCTGAGTTCAAATCCGGCCTCAGACCAAACACTTGACACTTACTAGCAGTGTGACCCTGGGCAAGTCACTTAACCCCAATTGCCTAAAAAAAAAAGAAACCCTCTGGGCCTCCCCAGCCCAGAGTAAGAATCCCTTCTCCAGCTTCTCTGACAAGTGGGCAGTCAGATTGTGCTTGTCACCTTCCAGGGAGGGCAGACCCAGCCCAACTCTCCTGATGGTAAGTTTTGCTTTGCCCACGCCCATGTAGGCCTCTCCATAACTCCCACCCATTGCTTTTAGTTTTGCCTTCTGGAGCTGAGTGGAACAAATCCAGGCTGTCTTCCATGTGACAGGCTTTCAGATACTTACAGACTCCTTATCAACAACATGAGTTGTAAAACATACCCAGTTCTTCTAACCAATCATACAGCAGGATTGCAAGGCCCTTCACCACTCTGGATGCTCTCCAGCTTGTCAACATCCTTCCTAAAATGTGGCACTCAAAACAGTATCTACTACTCGGGATGGAATCTAATCAGGGTCGAATATACTTCCCTAGTCCTGTACCCCATTGTTCTCCTAACATAGCCTAACACTACATTAGTTTCCTTGGATGCTGTATGATATTATTGACTCATACTCCTAAAACCCCCCCCAAAATCTTTTTTTCAGACAAGCTGATATACTTACCCATCTTATATTTGTGAAGTTGACTTTTTGAATCCCAGCTCAGCTATGTGGCCATGGGTGTATCCATAGAATATAAGCTCCTTGAAGGCAGGAACTGTTTTGATTTTTTTTCTTTTTATCCCCAGTGCTTAGCCCAGTGTTTGGCACATGTTAAACACTTAATAAATGCATGTTGCCTGACTGACTTGACCTCAGTTTCCCCATCTATAAAATGAGAACAATAATATGTATATTTCCTTCCTCCCAGAGGGATTGTAAGCAAAGAGCTTTGTAAAGCTTAAGGTACTATAGGAATGGGAGCTAGTATTGAGCACTTGCTGTATGCTATGGGATTAGGAGGATGGCAGGGGGAGGGGGTTAGGGGGGATTGTGGGTGGCAAGTACAAAACTGCATGTGACATGATCACTGCCCTCCTCCTGTACCTTAAAGTCTAATTGAAGAGACAAGGCCAATACTTGTGAAACAATTCAAGAATGATTAAGGGCCAGGCTGCACAGCTCAAACTTTGAGTATGGTAGGAATTCAAGGGGGAAAATAGCAGTGTGGGCTAGAATAGTCAGAGAAGTTGAAAGAGTGAATCATGAAATAAGGAGGTAATGGTATTCCAGGTGAAAAGAATAGCATAAGCAAAGGCATTGATGTCGGAATCATCCATCAGGGGATGGCAAGAATTGTGACCTAAGGAGCAGGGAATATCTTTTATGAAGGGATAGGAGATGAGGTTCAACAGGTAGTGTAGGCCCAGATTATGGAGTGCCTTCAATTCCTGACATTGGACTTTGAGCTTGATGGGGTAGGCAGTGGGGGCTACTGTGGGCTTGTGAACAGGGTCCAAGCACAACACGTGCACTGTTTTGGGAGTGTTAACCTAGTATCCATATGTGTGATGGATTTGGGACAAGAAGAGACTGGAAATCTAGGACCAGTTTTAAGGCTATAGCAGAAATTCAAGTGTGAGATGAAGAAAGTTTGTGGAGTAGGATAGTAGCAGTAGCGGGAAAGAAAACAGAAAGGGGTGAGTTCAAATGCCATCTCAAAGGAAGAAACCCACAGACTTGGTTACAGATTTGGACTTGGTGAATGCAGGAGAGGAAAGAATACAGAAGACGCCAAAATTTCTAGCTCAGTAGATTGGAAGAATGGTGGTAATCATGTTAGAAGAGGAAAGTTAGGAAGGAGACATAACTTAGGGGAGAAGATGGTGTATTCAGTTTTCAACATTTTTAGTTTGAGGGAGATGTCCGGACATTCAAATAAGGATAACTTACAAGTGACTGGAAATACAAGACTGGTGCTTAAGTGAGAAAGTCAGGGCTAAGGAGATCAGCTTGGGAGTCAGTAGCAGAGAAGTTCAAGTTAAAATCTTGAGAATAAATGATCTTACTCTAGAATAGTGAGTGTAGAGAAAGAAAAAGAAAGAGATGAAGACAGGACCTCCAAGCACCGCCATAGTTACAGGCCACTAGAAGTAAGTGAAGCCAAGAAAGGAGATGGGGAGTGATCCAAGGGGTGAGAGGAGAAACAGGAAAGACAAAGGAAAAGAGTCTTAAATGAAGTATGGTCAACAATATCAAATACTGAAGGGATGATTGAAGAGGCTGGAAACTGGGAGTGGGCTTTTCAATTTAGCCAGACAATCCTTAATGACCATGGAAAGAAAAGAAGGCCAAGAAGAAACCAGCTTTCAGGAAATTCACAAGTACAAGTACAATAGAAGCATTGGTACATTGGAAGAGTATGGCCACAAAAAGGATGGTAACTCAAAGTGGTCATGAGGTCTGGGGAGACTATTTTGTTTACAAAATAATGAGACTTGTATGTGTTTAACTATGAAAGGGAAGGAGCCCAAAGAGAGAGATGGAGGAGATAATTGTGG